AGGGAGGGAAAGTAAGAAAGAATGAGAAAGCGAGAAAGAGAAAGAAAAAAAGAAGAAAAAGAAAGAAAGAAAGAGAGAGAGGAAGGAAGGAAGGAAGGAAGGAAGGAAGGAAGGAAGGAGGGAGGGAGGGAGGGAGGGAGGGAAGGAAGGAAGGGGGAAAGAAAGAGAAGGGAGGAAAGAGAGAAAGAGAAGGGAGGAAAGAGAGAAAGAGAAAAAAGACAAGTCTCTATCAGATGAGATGTAGTTGACTAGATCTGTCTATATGGCTTCCAGCAGAATTAAAAATCTAAAACCTGTGCAAGAAACCCTGATGTGAAAGAGTATAAATAGGAAAGAAAGAATGAAAAATGCTAATTTATTAATTCAATGTAATCTTATTTTGTTTAAGCCAATGGAAAATAAATTTTGGTATTTGGCTCCTTTTGCTTACATGTAGAGCAAGTTGTACCAATTCAAATTACACAGTTTCTACTGTGTATAATCAGTTTCTGGCGTGGAAAGCTCTAAAATTCCTATCATATCACCAGTTCTATATTAATCCTTAAAATGTTAATGAGACTCTAAAAAACACCTTACAACATAGATAAGCTATAAACAATATTGTTCTCCACTGATTCATGTTCCTTTCTGTAGGAATTCCAAAATTTTATGTATCCTAGAGGCCAAAAAGTTGATTAGATCAATAAAGGTTAATATTTATTGATACTCTGGTTTAAGCATTCTAAAACTCTATGAAGTATATAATTTTATTACCTATATTTTAGCAATGAAGAAACCAAGGTAAGAATTTTAAATAAATTATAAAGCACAAATAAACCCCCATGCTAATAAGGAGCAGAGTCAGGATTTGATTCCAGGTAGTCTCAAAAAAGAACCTGTGCTCTTTCCACCAAGCAATGCTGTCTTAAATATTAGAGACACTAAAGGTCAAAGCAGCACTTTAATCTCTTAGTTGAATCATCAATTCTTGTGCATGTCAACACTCCATTTTAATAAATGCATTTTGTGCCGGGCATGGTGGCTCACGCCTGTAATCCCAGCACTTTGGGAGGCCGAGGTGAGCAGATCACAAGGTCAAGAGGTCAAGACCATCCCGGCCAACATGGTGAAGCTTGTCTCTACTAAAAATACAAAACAATTAGTTGGGCATGGCGGCGCGTGCCTGTAGTCCCAGCTACTCGGGAGGCTTAGGCAGGAGGATTGCTTGAACTCAGGAGGCAGATGTTGCAGTGAGCCAAGATGGTGCCACTGCACTCCAGCCTAGCAACAGAGTGAGACTCCTTCTCAAAAAAATACAAAATAAAAAATAAAATGCATTTTACTCATCTACACTTTCTCACTATTTTTCTCTATATGGTATTTGTTATGTATCCAAAATTTTTTTTAAGAGCAGGACCAGGCGTAGTGGCTCATGCCTGTAATCTCAGCACTTTGGGAGGCCAAGTTGGGTGGATCACCTGAGGTCGGGAGTTCGAGACCAGACTGATCAACACGGCAAAACTCTGTCTCTACTAAAAATACAAAAATTAGCCAGTCATGGTGGTGCGCAACCATAATCCCAGCTACTCAGGAGGCTGAGGCAAGAGAATTACTTGAACCTGGGAGGGGGAGGTTGCAGTGAGCCAAGATCATGCCACTTCACTCCACCCTGGGCAACAGAGCAAGACTCCACCTCAAAAAAAAAAAAAAAAAGAAAAAAAAGAACAGTAAAGAAGGTCTCATCTAAATGAGAAATATACTCTACAATATTATTTTAGGGGCTACAACAGCCTGGTATGGTGCTGACCAGGATAGCTCGATGCTTAGCACAGTGACCTGCCCGTAGTGTAGATTAGAGGTCCCAACACTACAACACTAGGCTTCCAGTCCCAAGACTGCATCTAAACATATGATCTTGGCCATTCTCTGGCTTTACTTTATTAAATGAGCACTTTGAACTAGGTAGTCTCTGAAGTCATTTCCATTTCTTTTCTTTTTTTTTTTTTTTTTTTTTGAGCACTAGTCTTGCTCTGTCACCCAGGCTAAAGTGCAGTCGCATGATTCGGCTCACTGAAACCTCTGCCTCTTGGGTTCAAGCAATTCTCCTACCTCAGCCTCCTGAGTAGCTGAGATTACAGGCGCCACCATGCCACCACCATGCCTGGCTAATTTTCTTTGTATTTTAGTAGAGACGGGTTTTCACCTTGTTCATCAAGCTGGTCTTGAACTCCTGACTTCAAATGATCCGTCTGCCTTGGCCTCCCAAAGTGCTTGGATTACAGGCACGAGCCACTGTGCCCAGCGGTCATTTCCATTTCTATAATTACATATTACATGCTTCTAAGTGACAAGAGACAAGACATTTCTGTACTGATCTTTACATGTAATCAGCTGACACTACAATTTAGGATGTCAAACTCTCTTCATGGTATTGCTGATTTGATTAGGGTTAGAGGCTGATGTGTCTCTAGTGTACATAGATACAATTGACATTGATGGGTATAAAGCAGTTCCCATGGCTTAGGATAAACAAAACTTGAATGTCCTAGGTTCCCTTCAGTGTTCACATAAACTATAAATCATCCTAATTTTGGATAATTTTGGAATCTGACCTTCCAGCTTGAGTAAAGCTTTTTGGATTTCAAAGTCATCTGTGATTCCAAAAAGAGTCCTCGAATATTATTTCTGCCTCTGTGTCACATTCTGAAAGCCCAGCTCTAAGTAAATCTTATTGGGTGTTTATTTTAAAGGTGAACTCAAGCAAACCTATCATTGAAAATCTGGTTCCTGGTGCCCAGTACCAGGTTGTGATATACCTAAGGAAGGGCCCTTTGATTGGACCACCTTCAGATCCTGTGACATTTGCTATTGGTAAGTTGCTAGCCACAAGAAGAATGACATATATATTAGGGTACTGACTGGAGGGATGCAATGTGCAAGCTCAAATCATTATCATTGTATTTTGAAGGCTTATGTTAGTTAATTTAATACTCTACCTTCAGAGTAATAAATAATTAGAACTGTCTACTTGAAAGACAGTATCAATATTTAATACTTGGGGGAAAAATCAGAGGCAAACATACTTGCTTTAGTTTTCAATGATTATATAACAAGAATAAAGCTGTGTGCCATGAGGTAGACACCTAAAGTTCCAGCTACTTGGGAGGCTGAGGTGGGAGGACTGCTTAGCCCAGTAATTTGAATCCAGCCTTGGTAACATAGCAACACACTGAACCAAAAAATAAAGGGAAAGAAAGAAAGAAAAAAAGGAAAAAGAGAGAGAGGAGGGAAGGGGAGGGAGGAAGGAAGGGGAGGGAGGAGGGAAGAAAGGGGAGGTAGGGAGGGAGGGAGGGAAGGAAGGAAGGAAGGGAGGGAGGGAGGGAGGGAGGGAGGAAGGAGGGAGGGAGGGAGGGAGGGAAGGGATTGTATCAGAAGAATGAAAAGTCTGGTCATTAAGTAGAAGTTTGAGGCTGTTGCTAAGACAGTAAACATTCCTCTTAACTTTCTTTTTTCAACCCCTCCCCTCTTGTTTTTAGTTCCCACTGGAATAAAGGATTTAATGCTCTATCCCTTGGGTCCTACAGCAGTGGTTCTGAGCTGGACCAGACCTTATTTAGGCGTGTTCAGAAAATATGTCGTTGAAATGTTTTATTTCAACCCTGCTACAATGACATCAGAGTGGACAACCTACTATGAAATAGCAGCAACTGTCTCCTTAACTGCATCCGTGGTAATTTTCCCTTAACCAACTGTCACTCTTTCCTATGGGAACAGGCATGATTTTATGTAACAAATGTGTCTTTAAAAAATTATCTATAAATTTGATAATTTTGTAAATACACATGGTGCATTAGTTCATTTTCACACTGCTGATAAAGACATACCCAAGACTGGGCAATTTACAAAAGAAAGAGGTTTCATTGGACTTACAGTTCCATGTGGCTGTGGAAGCCTCACAATCATGATGGAAGGGAAGGTGGAGCAAGTCACGTTTTTATATGGATGGCAGCAGGCAAAGAGAGCTTGCGGAGGAAAGCTCTCCCTTATAATAATCATCAAATCTCATGAGACTTACTATCACAAAAATGGCATGGGAAAGACCTGCCCCCATGATTCAGTTACCTCCCACCAGGTCCCTCTCACAACATGTGCAAATTCAAGATGAGATCTGGGTGGGAACAAGCCAAATCATATCATTCCACCCCGGGCCCTTCCCAAATCTCATATCCTCACATTTCAAAAACCGATCATGCCTTTCCAACAGTTCCACAAAGTCTTAACTAATTTCAGCACTGACTCAAAAATCCACAGTCAAAAATCTCATCCAAGACAGAGCAAGTCCCTTCTGCCTATGAGTCTGTAACATCAAAAACAAGTTAGTTACTTCCTAGATACACTGGTTGTACAGGCATTGGATAAATACAACTGTTCCAAATTTGAAACATTGGCCAAAACAAACAGGCTACAGGTCCCCATGCAAGTCCATAATCCAGTGGTGCAGTCAAATCTTAAAGCTCCAAAATTATCTCCTTTGACTCCATGTCTCATATCCAGGTCACACTGATGCAAGACATGAGTTTCCATGGTCTTTGGCAATTCCACCCATGTGGCTTTGCAGAATATATCCCCTTTCCTGGCTGCATTCACAGGCTGGCATTAAGTGTGGCTTTTCCAAGTGCACAGTGCAAGCTGTTGGTGGGCTTACCATTCTGGGGCCTGGAGGATGGTGGCCCTCTTCTCACAGCTCCACTAGGCAATACCCCAGTAGGGACTCTGTATGGGGTCCCCAGTCCCACATTTCCCTTCTGCACTGCCCTAGCAGAGGTTCTCCATGAGGGCCCCGCCCCTGCAGCAAATTTTGCCTGGGCATCCAGGTGTTTCCATACATCTTCTGAAATCTAGGCAGACATTCTCAAACCTCAATTCTTGACTTCTATGCACCCACAGGCTCAACACCATGTGGAAGTTGCCAGGGCTTGGGGCTTACAGCCTCTGAAGCCACCCCCTGAGCTCTGTGTTGGCCCCTTTCACCCATGGCTGGAGTGGCTAGGAGGCAGGGCACCAAGTTACTAGGCTGTACACATCACAGGCACCCTGGGCCTGGGCTGTGAAACCACATTTTCCTCCTAGGCCTCCAGGCCTGTGATGGGAGGGGCTACTGTGAAGACCGCTGTCATGCCCTGAAGACATTTTTCCCTTGTCTTGGGGATTAACATTCAGTTCCTCATTGCTTATGCAAATTTCTGCAGGCAGCTTGAGTTTCTCCTCAGAAAATAGAACTTTCTTTTCTATCATATTGTCAGGCTGTAAATTTTCCAAACTTTTATGCTCTGTTTCCCTTTTAAAACTGAATGCCTTTAACAGCACCCAACTCACCTCTTGAATGTTTTGCTGCTTAGAAATTTCTTCTGACAGATACCCTAAATCATCTCTCTTAAGTTCCACAAATCTCTAGGGCAAGGGCAAAATCCTGCCAGTCTCTATACTGAAACATAACAAGAGTCACCTTTGCTCCAGTTTCCAACACGTTCTTCATCCCCACCTGAGACCACCTCAGCCTGGATTTCATTGTCAATATCATTATCAGCATTTGGTCAAAGCCATTCAACAAGTCTCTAGGGAGTTCCAAAATTTCCCACATTTTACTGTTTTCTGAGCTCTCCAAACTGTTCCAACCTCTGCCTGTTACCCAGTTACAAATTTTGGGTATCTTCTCAGCAGCACTCCACTCTCTGTACCAATTTACTGTATTGGCCCGTTTTCACTCTGCTGACAAAGACATACCCAAGACTGGGCTATTTTCAAAAGAAAGAGATTTAATTAGGCTTAATGTTCCACGTAGCTGGGGAAGCCCCACAATCATGGTCGAAGGCAAGGAGGAGCAAGTCACATTTTACATGGATGGCAGCAAGCAAAAAGACCTTACACAGGAAAACTCCCCCTTATAATAACCATCAGATCTCATGACAGTTACTCACTATCATGAGAATAGCACAGGAAAGACCTGCCCCCATGATTCAGTTACCCCCCACCAGGTCCCTCCAACAATAGTGGGAATTCAAGATGAGATTTGGGTGGGACACAGCCAAACCATACAGATAGGTATGGCTATTTTCAAGGTTTTTTAGTTGTTTTGCTTTTAGGTTTTGGGGTTCTTTTTTGTTTTGAGAGAGAAAGAGATAATTGTATGAAGCTAGCTGTCATCTCCAATTGAATGTATTTGTTAATCAACATTTTTTACATATTTTCCTAACAAATTTGCTTAAAGCAGAATAGAGCAATCAAGTACTTATTGCTTCTCCCTGCTCCTGGGGAGGGAGGGACACACAGAGATTTCCCTTTGGTATTCAATAGTTAATTGACACTGCCTAACTTTAATGATGACTCTTTGTGACAACTACTAATCTATTAAATACCTCTAATGTCAGGCTTTTAGAGGATGGTTTTTAAGAAAACAGGTAAAAATTGCTCTTTCTGAAATTGGAATAATTTTGAAAAGTGTAGGTTACCCACAGGCTATTCACAAAGTACACAATTGCTCTCTACCCAGTTGAAGACTCTGAAGGACTCCTGTTCATGGTTTACATTGAAAAAACACAGAGTTGTGAGAGGTTATTTGTCTTAGAAATAGGGAGATATGTATGTATAGTCACTTACAGATAAGCACTATTTCATGGGTGTGATATTAGGAAATTGCTAAATGAAACAAATATTGGAAATCTTTGGCTCTATATCTTTGAATCACCTTTAAAAATCATATTTTTGTATTCTATTTTATTTATGTCTCATTTCATTCTAGAAAGAATATTTTATTATCATAAATTTAGGAAATAGAAAAACACACTAAAAAGGAAAATTAAAATGACTTATTAATTTTTTTAAGACCTAATGAAAGTAACTCTACTCCAAAAATAACACTTTCACCCTCAGTCTTTTGTCTCCTTGCTTGCTTTTCTCATTCAGAGAATAGCTAATCTGCTGCCAGCATGGTACTACAACTTCCGGGTTACCATGGTGACATGGGGAGATCCAGAATTGAGCTGCTGTGACAGCTCCACCATCAGCTTCATAACAGGTGAGGCATGTGTGGGGAATGGTTCCGTGAGAAGAGAGCATTATTGTGAGGAGTTATCGAGGCTCCAAAGCTCTAGAAAGTGCCATTTACCCAGCACTGGGTGAACATCAATTTCATGAGAGATGATATTGATTCTGATCATTCATTATTTTGTCCAGTTGATAATCTTTAAAAATTAAAATATCATTTTTATTCTGAGTTACCACCCTTGGCTTATTTTTATTCTGAGGCACTGACCTTGATTTATTTACTCCCCAGCTAGGATTGATTAGAATGGAGATGTGGCAGGTACAGCCAACAGCTTCACACTGCACAGTCAATTGATTTTACCCATATGATGATTATATTTGTTAGAGTGCCTCCATTTCCTTATTAATTAAGCCACTTTTAAAGTCATAATCTGACTGTAGTAGGGTCCATTGTAGAAGTAAAAAGTAGGCTTCGGAGGCAGATAGATCTGGATTTTAATATACCCTCCTGCACACCACAGAAATTTAACCTTGAGCACGTTAAATTTACTAGGCCTCAGTTTTTTTCATGTTGAAAATGGGGATAATAATAGTATCAGTTATCTGTTATTATTTATTACAACTTCACTATTAAATAGGCTATTTTGCAAAATACATGACACAAAGTTTAAGCACTTACAAAATGATTGGTCTTTTATCCTTAGGAACCTTAAATTATGTAGTTCCATCATCAGTAGTCAGAGATAGCAATGAAAAGGGGAAATTCCTCAAAGAAACACTAACCCTCATTGTTTGAACCAAGACTTTTCAAGAACCTTTTATCAAACAAGGTTGTAATTAGAGTTGTCCTGAGAAAACAGAGGAGAAAAATACTGCTTAGGGGAATAATTTTGGCAAATGGTTTCCTCAGTGGACATCTAGTTTACTCTGTTGAAATTTATCAATGAAAAAAAGTGGAAAGAAATCAATCATCTGTGAATTCTTACACAATTAACTTACGTAAGCATGTCTCTTTTCTTTACTAGCCAATATCCAGAGCACTTTTTCTTCCAGATTTTAATAGTAATATTAGAACAGAAAAGTGAAAGAATACCCAAAAAGGAGAAAAAAAAATCCATTATTTGGCAAGCACTGCATTAGGCTTTTGCGTATATTGATAATCACATATTTAATCACAATTAAACTTCACTGTATCAATAATTCTTATAGTTTAGCTATATTGATAATAACTTTCTGAGAATGCTGTTTCCTTCCTGGCAGGACAGTTGCCTGGTAAAACCCCAGATGTAATATCTGAACCTGGGACTGCTCATTTCTAGCTGCCAAACTTTGAGCAAATTATCTCAATGACTCTGGGCTTCTATTTTTTTGCTGGTAAAACCCCCTAAAATGTCAGCTAAATAGGCTCTACAGCCTACTTAGAGACAACTGGTTAGGGGAGCAAAACTTAATATATTGAACACCACCTTGACAGTCATTGCACTGTCTCTTAATGGGAAACAAAAGAAATGAAATATTAATAGGATTTGGCTTTCTGGCTCAAGTGGTTTAAGGTATGCCTTCCAAGATGGGAAACTGACTAGGATCAGGCAAAGTTTATAACAATTTAAATGGACATAGCAAGTCTGGATCAATAAACTATGGTTAATATACAAGCTATTTATCTGGTAAATTGTCTCCAATGAAATCTTTGACGATTTCCTATCTTTTCCTGGGTCAAATAAATAAGTCATGCTGAACCAGCAGTCTACAGGTATTGTCTGAACATATTGACGGAGATGGTCTCAATTCTCACATCTATGAAATGGGTATAATTATAATAAATAAATAATAAAGAATAATAATAAATACCTCACAGTATGTATGAGAATTAAATCATGTAACATAAGTCACTGTTATATATGACAGATTATTATCATTTTTATACTTATTTTGTAAACCAGTTGAAAATTCCAGTAGGTTTTTTTGTATATATTTTTTAAATTTTACTTTAACTTCTGGGATACATGTGCAGAACATGCAGGTTTGTTATATATTTTTTTAACATTTTTTAAATTTTATTTTAAGTTCTGGGATACATGTGCCATGGTGATTTGTTGCACCTATCAACCCATAGTCTAGTTTTTAAGACCTGCATGCATTAGGTATTGGTCCTAATGCTCTCCCTCCCCTCGCCCCCTACCTCCTGACAGGCCTAATATGATACTAATACTTTATTTTTTGAGAAGGAGCTTCACTCTGTTGCCCAGGCTGGAGTGCAATGGCTCACTCTCAGCTCACTGCGACCTCCGCCTCCTGGGTTCAAGCAATTCTCCTGCCTCATCCTCCCAAGTAGCTAGGATTACAAGCATGCGCCACCATGCCCAGCTAATTTATTTTGTATTTTTAGTAGAGAGGGGTTTCACCATGTTGGCCCAGCTGGTCTCAAATTCATGATCTCAGGTTATCCACCTGCCTCGGCCTCCCAAAGTGGATTCTAATACTCATAAAACAAACATTCATGACTAGCTATGCTTTCAAAACAATTATTCACTGAAGAATTTGTAATATATAAAGTAAAAATACATGAGTGTGTGATGTTTTTTACCTCCTCATTTAAAGCAAATAAGAATCCCATGCCTAACTTTTCTATACTTTGAATTTTCCAAATTGCGTGATATTAAAGGAAATAGGAACAAAATAGTTGAATTAGATGTGATTTATTAGGAACTCAAGTCTACCATCCTCATCAGGCAATTCAGTTGGCTAGCTTCAATCATGGTAATTATTCTGAGGGACCAAATTATTAATAAACAAATAGTGACATCTTGTGGTCTTCCAGCAAGATGCTAGGTTTTAAAGCAACAACATGGAAATAGAAATCCGACATGTGAGAGGAAAGATATGTACTTCTGGATTTGTAATTTTAAAGATGTCTCTTTTCGTTATGAAAATTAGGACATGAGAAAATATCCTTTGAAGAAATATATGCATAGGTTCTTGTATATGATGAAATCTGTTGGACTATATTAGGTTGCTATAAGGAAGCCAATGTTATTTTCCTTTAGTAGAATATTCTGAAATATGATGTAGATTTGTGTTACTTGTTAGATGCATTGCTGATATTTCAAGGTTTTATTGCTAAACATACTATATAAATGCTAGTCCTATTTCACATGAAACAGAAATGTGTTTTTACTTTATATATTACAAATTCTTCAGTGAAAAATTATTTGTGAAAGCATAGCCAGTTATGAATGTTTGTTGTAAGTATTAGCATCATATTGGGGGAAATAATTCTCTATACTTTCTAGAAATTCTCTAAAGATTTAAGTTGACATTGTCCTCTATCTCAGAATGGAATACCTACTGCCTTCAAACATATACATGGGATTTAAATTCAACGGTGTGTTTGCTTTTTGAAATAACCAGAATTAGCAGTTACTTTAAAAAGTAATTAAAATATGCTTTCAAAGCCTATATAGTATAAAGTTTGTGGTGAATTCTCCTGCCTAGTTAACAAATTTTTAATTTTTTCTTTTTCTTCAGCTGGGTGCGGAAGCTCATGCCTATAATCCCAGCACCTTGGGAGGCCAAGGTGAACAGATCGCTTGAACCCAGGAGTTCAAGACCAGCCTAGGCAACATAAAAAGACCCCGTGTCTACTAAAAATATGAAAATGAGCCGAGTGTGGTGGCCTGCACCTGTGGTCCTAGCTACTTGGCAGGCTGAGGCAGGAGGGATGCTTGAGCCTGGGAAGTCGATGCTGTAATGAGCTGAGATTGCACCACTGCACTCCAGCTTGGGTGACAAAGTGAGACGCTGCCAAAAATAAATAAGTAAACAAAAGTAAATATTTTTTTAAGCCAAGGTTTCACTCTGTCACCCAGGCTGGAATGCAATGGCAGGCTCACGGTTCCCTGCAGCCTGAATCTCCTGGGCTTAAACAGCCCTCCCACCTCAGCCTCCCTAGCAGCTGGGACTACAGGGTGTGCCACCATGCCCAGCTAAATTTTTTAATTTTTTTGTAGAGATGGAGTTTCGCTATGTTGCCCAGGCTGGTCTCAAACTCCTGGACTCAAGTGATCCACCCACCATGGCTTCCCAAAATGCGGGGATTACAGGCATTCCCTGCCTAAATTTTTAAAACTTTAAATGTGTAAGATGATAAAGTAGCAAACTCAGTGTTAGAATTTAGCTTCGTGGCATAATTTTTTTTAAAAAAAAAAAGCTTGTTCTTCTCTTCTTTCTCTCTCTTACTACTTGCTTCAGCAACATTTATTAAGAGCCTGTTTTCTGCAAAGCACTGGGCTAGACATTGTCAATAATAATGTCTTGTTATTTTATGGAAATAACATTTGTCTTCTATCTTACTTGTAATACTATTATCTTCTATCTTTCTACCCTTGTATCCTACTGTTCTTCATTCCCATAAACGTCTTTGCTGCAAGTAAATAAAAGAGACTTACGTTTACAGGACTCTAGGATTTTTTAATCCTACTTGGATTATAACTCTATTGATGCCTATTAATATTCATTGGCTGATGTAACAAATATATCCAAACAAGTGACCCCTTTAGGACTCTTGTAATGGTGATATTTATATAAAAGACTTTGATATCCTCAGGTACAGATGGGTCTGGGTGTCTTGTATCTTAGAGATATAAGGTGTTGGATCCCATAAAACAAGTGCCCACCGTGTGTCACCATCCTTCACTGTTACTGAGAGGTCCAGTAGTTACCAGGACTATCATGTGCTTTGAATTCTAATTTGCTAAGTTGAATCTAAATGGGATTTCATGCTCTACTGCTAAATACTGTATTTATGAGTCTATTATACTACATTGTGCTTTTTCTTTCCCTTGTAGCGCCAGTGGCTCCAGAAATCACTTCTGTGGAATATTTCAACAGTCTGTTATATATCAGTTGGACATATGGGGATGATACAACAGACCTGTCCCATTCTAGAATGCTCCACTGGATGGTTGTTGCAGAAGGAAAAAAGAAAATTAAAAAGAGTGTATGTTTCTTTGAATGCCAGTATTGTGTGTCTGTACATTTAGTTTTATGAACTACTGAAAACCACTAAGCAATCATTTATTGTGGCGTCAAATGTTTGCATACCTGTAGTCTGTTTTAGGCTCTAGAGATAAGACAGTGAACAAACATTAAATTCTTCCTTTCATAGAGTTTACCGTTTAATCTGTAACCGTGAGCTGTAGTCATTGCAGCTGTTGATTTCACTTATATTTAGAACTACGATTTGAGCTTTTTCTTCAGGATGCCAAACATTTTCAAGAAAACTACAATTAATATATTTCCAAATTTTTCCCATATATCACCAACACCTAAAGATTTGGGGACTTTGAGACTACTGACTTCTTTTCTCCAAAATACACTTTTTGATGTTTATTGATTAAGGTACAGATTAAACTACTGAAGTAAAGAAACAAACAAAAGGAGAGTGGCTCAAACAAAATAGAAGTTTCTGCCTCTCCCATGAAAGCACAGGACTAACCAGGCCCTTCTGCCCTAAGGGGTCATCCAGGGATGCAAATTCTGTTTTGTTGTTCCATCTGCCCACTACGCGTAGTTCCTGTGTGTAGAGAGGAGAGAGGAACCTTTATCACCATTACATCCACATTCCAACTTGCAGGAAGGGGGAAAGAAAAGGGGAGGATGTGGAAGCCCAGCACTTACAGGATGTGAACTGAACTATAAGTTGTCCACGTGACTTCTACTTACAATCCACTGGTCAGAGCTGGGTCACATCAACCCCTCTACCTGTAGGGGAGGATGGGAAATAATAAGGGCCAGTAGGTAGGAAGCCACATGTCTGTAGATACGAGTAGGTTTCTTTTCTTTTTTTTTTTTTTTTTTTTTTTTTTTTTTTTTTTTTTTTTTTTTTTTTTTTTTTTNTTTTTTTTGAGATGGAGTCTAGCTCTGTCACCAGGCTGGAGTGCCGTGGTGATATCTTGGCTCACTGCAACCTCTGCTCCCAGGTTCAAGTGATTGCCCTGCCTCAGCTTCCCAAGTAGCGGGAGCTACAGGCACCCACCACCATGCTCAGCTAAGTTTCTTTTGAACTTCTTAGAATGTACATATCAGAAGCAACCCAGTAACTGTCTTTTTTAAAACCTGTTGTGAATATGTAAGAAAATGTCAGTATAAGACCCATTCCAAATTAGGAAATTAATTGCAAAATTGTTCTGATGTATATAATGCATTGTTAAAGCTACCTTGCACTGGCCCCAGCTGATGAATTTGTAAAATTTTCAGAAGATTTAACGTACCTATAATATAATAAATTGCAGATTGCAGCATAGAACGGAGAGGGAATGTGTCTGCTATACTCCTTAGGTTGTTTGGGGTGGTCCACTGGCTTATTCACTAAAAGTTTAAACCCTTGATTTTGATGATCTTGCAGGTGACACGCAATGTCATGACTGCAATTCTCAGCTTACCTCCAGGAGACATCTACAACCTCTCAGTAACTGCTTGTACTGAAAGAGGAAGTAATACCTCCATGCTCCACCTTGTCAAGCTAGGTAAGAAGAATGCACAGAGATGGGTGTGAAATAATCATGTTGGAAGAACTAATGTTTGAATCACTTGATTCAGCAAGAGCTCTTCAATTCAATGAAATAATAACAGAAAAATGGCTAATATTTTATTAGTAGAAAATAAACATTTGTACTAGCAAAAGAGTATGGTCAACTTAGCACGAGTTTCTGTGAGTGGAATATATACTGTTTTGGGAAACAGTGGTGTTCACTGTTCTTGATAAGGTTAAAGAAACCAGGTAGTCATAGGATTTGGGGGATGAGAAAACATTAGCGATTATCTAATGCAGTGTTCACAACCCTATAAGACAACATTCCATTTTCATATTAATATTATGTATTGCCCTCTTTAATATTTTAAATAGCAATTCATAGATTTGAAAATCTACACATTGATTTTTAAAATTTTATATAGATTCCTAACTCCAGTATAAAATCAAGATAAAATGAAACTAATTTATGATAAAAATAATATGGATTCCCTATGTATATGTTCAGACACAACCACTCTAAAAGACATAATGAAATCACCTGAGGCCTAGATATAATTAAAATGAATAAGTTAAGGTCTAAAAGAAATAAAAAGATCATTAGTCCTTCATATAAGATGTATAAAACTAAGTGAAGAAATGAACAAGTTAACATAAATTAGTTAATAACAAATAACTGAACAAGCATAGATACAGGTAGAACCTTAGAATAAAAACTAGAGTCAAAATAAGCACTAAAAGATGAGATATATTTTCATATAATGAGAGAAAGATGGAAATAACTTTAATTAAAGTAGGGGCAATACTCCAAAAGTTTATAAATGGCAGCATAGAAGCAAGCTGGCTTCACTCCCCTCTACCCAACAGAAAACCAAAACCAAATATATAGCTCTGAGATTTTCACCAGCAACAACCCAGAACTCAAATACGAGGATGAGACAGATTCCAGAACCACAGAGAAGTGAAAAACTCTGGGCAGGTGATAGGAGAATCAGGCTTCCACATTCATAACGCCTTTCCCCCCACTTCTGTCTGGTAACAAGTGGGCAGAAAATCTTCTGCCAACTCATATTTCTACACTGGAAAAAGTGAGGCTGAGGCGGCCCACTCGTTTTCCCACTATCTTGGGTTTCCTGGCAGGAAACCTGTCCTTGCCTTAACCCACAGGAACCATCGTCACTGCCTGAAGGGAGAAATAGCTTGAGGACAGGCAGAGAAAAAGACGTGAGGTGAAACCGCCATTCCCAATCCCAGCAACTCTGCTCTGTAACTTGGCCAAAGGAGACACCAAATCAGAGTGGCTCTTCAGCAGCGCCATGGTGTAGGAGGTACATTCCACAGGTCCCTTGGGCATGAGCCCCCCAGCCAACTTTGACACACTGCCAGGATTGTTCCCTTGGGACGTCTCCTTTTCAGGATAAGCCAAACCAAGGCAAATCTGGACTTCATCTGCCACGTAGAGCTGAAATGTATGCAGTGACGTAGTAGTAAAGATTTGCTAAGGAAACATAGCCAATATAAAACAAAACAAGGCAAGGCAGACAATGGAAAGTGGACTAACTAGCTGATCCTTTAATGCAGACATAGATATATACCTATAAGAAACAACATCAGCCAGGCGCAGTGGCTCATGCCTGTAATCCCAGCACTTTGGGAGGCCGAAGCGGGTGGATCACGAGGTCAAGAGATCGAGATCATCCTGGCCAACATGGTGAAACCCCATCTCTACTAAAAATACAAAAATTAGCTGGGCGTTTGGTACCCGCCTACAGACCCAGCTACTTGGGAGGCTGAGGCGGAAGAATCGCTTGAACCCGGGAGGTGGACGTTGCCGTGAGCTGAGACTGCACCACTGTGCTCCAGCCTGGTGACAGAGCAAGACTCCGTCTCAAAAAAAAAAAGAAAAGAAACAAGAAACAACATCAAACAAGGAACTGTGACCCCCCCACACACACAAAAGGACAAAGCAAAAATCCAATGACTGACCCTAACAAGATGGTGATTTGTGAGCTCTCTGAACAAGAATTCAAAATACAGTTTAAGGAATATCAGTGAGGTCCAAGAAAATATAGAAAAGAAATTCTGAAATTTATCAGAGAAATTTAACAAAGAAATTTTAAAATCAAACAAAAATCTTGGCCCTAGAAAATACATTTGCTGAGCTGAAAAACTCATCACAGCAGAATGGACAAAGGAGAGGAATAATTCAGGGAGCTCAAAGGCTGTTTGCAAATATACTATCAGAGAAGGAAAAAGAAAAGTAAGACTGAAAATAAGTGACTTCTGCCTATAAGATATAAAAAAAAAATTTACCTTAAAAGTCAAATGTGAGAATTATTAGTATTCAAGAGGGAGCTGAGTGAGAAAGTTTATTCAAATAAATAATAATAGAAAACATTCCAAAACTTGGGAAAGATATAAACAGCCAGGTTCAGGAGTGTCTGAGAATACCAAACAGAAACCACCCAAATGAGATCACCCCAAAGCATATAATAGTCAAACTCTCAAAGGTCAAGGATAAAGAGAAGATCCTGAAAGCATCAAGAGAAAAGATGCAAATAACAGGTAAACAAGCTGCAATTCTTCTGGCAACAAACTGTACAGGCCATGAGGAAGCGAAACATTTTCGCAGTGCTCAAAGAAAAAACTGCCATTCAAGAATAATATATTCACCAAAATTGTCCTTCAAATATGAAGGAAAGATAAAAACAAAAGATGAAAAAATTTACCACTATCAGACAGGTCGTACAAGAAATACAAGAGATTTCTTCAATCTGAGAGAAAAAGACACATGCAAAAAGAAAACTTCAAGGTATTAGGCTTTGGGAAAATTAAGTACATGAACCAACCTAGAATGTTCTATTACTGTAATTTTGGCACGCAATCTTTCTATTACTCTGCTGTAAAGCCCAAAAGACAAATATATATATATATTTTTTGAGATGGAGTCTCGCTCTGTCATCAGGCTGGAGTGCAGTGGTGTGATCTTGGCTCACTATAAATTCTGCCTCTCAGGTTCAAGTGATTCTCCCTGCTCAGCCTCCCAAGTAGCTGAGATTACAGGTGCACACCACCCCACCCAGCTAGTTTTTGTATTTTTAGTAGAGACAGGGTTTCACCATGTTGGCTAGGATGGTCTCGATCTCTTGACTTCATGATCTGCTCACCTCAGTCTCCCAAAGTGCTGGGATTACAGGCATGAGCCACCATGCCCGGCCAAAGACAAATCTTTTAAAAACAATAATAGCTACAGCAATCTGTTAAGAGATAGGTAATGTAAAGCATGCAAATTGAGGCAACAAAGTCAAAATGGGGGATGGAGAGAGATGAAGTTAAAAGGTAAATTTTTTTTAAAAGGTAAACTATTTTTTTACTCATTATCTAAAATAAGTTGTCATCTCTTAAACTAGTTATGGCCGGACATGATGGCTCATGCCTGTAATCCAGCACTTTGGGGGACCAAGGTTGGCGAATCACTTGAGCCCAGGAGTTCAAGACCACA